CTGAGATACTACATACTGAGACTTATCTGATTTCAATTCAATGACATGGATGCACATTTTGAAGGACAAGACAGTAGCCTATAGGATGTATTTTGATTGTCCGGTAGTCCTCAAATAACATTATAGTCCCGTCTCGTCTTGTTAACAAAGACACACCATAAGTTTTGTCATAGTTTTTATCATCAGATATTAGTTTTAGCTCGTCAACGTATCGTCTTAGTCACAGAAAAAATGTTCGTTAACGAGTACTTTTGGTCGTCGTCTTCGTTGACTAAATTAACACTGCTGCTGTGCGTGTTGTCACGTTAACATGGACAAACAGTGCTTGTTGACATGGTCAAATTTCATGCGTTCTGTTTAACGACTTTTGGCACCATCCGCCTTCCATATATCAGATTTGTGTTTCTTCAGTATGCAAGAAATCACAGTGAATGAGGTACGTGTAGGTTTGCCAGATCTATCTATCTATCTATCTATCTATCTATCTATCTATCTATGTATCTATGTATGTATGTATGTATGTATGTATGTAAAGAGCATGGTCTGCGAAAGCAGCGTTCCAAACAAACAAAATATGGTGGTTTAGTTAAACTCACCGAAGTTTTTGGTGCTGTAATATTACTTTGGTCAAGAATATTGGATACCAAATGCTAAAGACGCCAAAATGATTGTTCAGCTGACAAAACATATTTCTGGAAAAATAAGGAGGAAAAAAAACCCTTTAAAAGTAGACTTAAACTCCAAAAAACAGTTTTAAATGTTGTGATTTGTGAAAAGTACGTGATCTAGGATCTTTATTCCGTTTGCACTATTGTAAAGATGCAAGACGAAATTTCTATGGACACTGCAACTCTCTGGCATTTTTTCTTAAAAACATAATTCTTCATTTAATACATCCAAAAATGTAATGATGTTATTTATTTCACTTTACTGCAATGCTACCGAACTTCCATAGGTGTCAGATTCGCCTCATTTTTAATCCGTGTTAAATTCAATATGGCGTCTAATCTGACAAAGGTCTTTTGACTCCTATATTTAAATATGATGGTCACTTCTGAAACTCCACAGTGTGCACTGTATGTGGCCATAGTGATTTTAATTACCAGTGATCAGACATTCAATGAACGAGCCATGAAACATACATTCTGAGCGGTTTATTGACTCTATGTTACAAAATGCACTCGTCTAGTTCCACAGAGAAGCAAGGGGTAGCCCCACAGAGCGCTAGATCTGCTCCAGTCAGCTCTTCCCATCACTAAAGGCCGTTCACTAACACCGTAAAGCCTTCTTCACTCTCTATACATGCAGCTGTCAGGCTCTCACGCCGCTCGCAAGAAATATTGCATCCTCAGAATGTCAATGGGAAACCTCAAATACAGCATGACATAGCATTGTTTTCAGAAATGAACTAAAAAAAGAATCACGTCCTATACTGTAACTCAATTACAATCAAATCAGACAGAATGTATAGGTTGTCTGAGATGAGCATTAACAAAGAAAGGCACTGATTTCTAAAGTAGGGAAAAGCTCATGCACTCTTCTCCTGGATAAGCTCATGTGAATCAGGCATGCAGGTTGCAAATCTAATAAAAGTAAACTGACAGACATGATACAGTATGATATAGAACCCATGAAGATAAACATTATTTGCATAATTGGAATAAGCAAAAAGTAAGATTTGAAAATAACACAGTGGGAGGATGCAACAAAATGCTTGTTTGTAATATATGAAATATCTACACATTTGAAATACAAATCGATGTTTTAATTCTATTCAATCTGATGAATAGACAAACCGGCCTGTTTATATTTATACACAGTTATACAATTCAGATTACTTCATATCTCTCTCTTGTTCTCTGGTCTACAGGTTAAGACTTTGAAAGCTCACATGTCAAGCTTTGAGAATTATTGTTGCAGGTGTGGAAACTGCTTCTCATAACTGAAATGCATGAAGGAAACATTTTCACACAGGGATTCATCTAAGATTTGTGCCAGGTATGATTATGATTTTAATGGAAGATTCTAAAGGCAGAATATGGGAACAATACTAGATCTAAATATTGACCGTTCATTTTTGCGGTGTGTTATTGTGTGAAATTAACTCTTCAATTTTACTCCATAAATCATGTTGTCAGCCACGTTGTGTGTAACTTATGTCCACTAGGTGGCGATGTTGTAGAGAACATTGTACTCTTGGTGAACTACATTTATAACTTTTTTAATATTATGAATTGCCCACAGTTACAAAATATTCTATATGTAAAAGTAATGTTTAATGTTTAATAAATAGCTTTTTAATTAACGTAGGCAATAATTTATAAAAGACGATATATAACAGGTTTAAAGGGACAGTTCACCCAAAAATGAAAATTCGGTCATCATTTACTTAGCTTTCACTTGTTCCAAACCTGTACGAGTTTCTTTCTCCTGTTGAGCACAAAAGAAGATATTTTGAAGAATGACGGTAACCAAACAGTGGACTTCCATAGTAATGAAAAAAAAAAAAAATACTATGGAAGTCAGTGGCTACCGTCAAACTTTTGGTTACCAACATTCTTCAAAATGTCTTCTTTTGTGTTAAACAGAAGAAAGAAACTCATACAGGTTTGGAACAAGTGGAAGGTAAGAGAATGATGACAGAATTTTAATTTTCGGGTGAACTATCTCTTTTTAATTGATGCTTTGAAAGACATTTCTTTGGAAGTCAGTGGCTACCGTCAAACTTTTGGTTACCAACATTCTTCAAAATGTCTTCTTTTGTGTTAAACAGAAGAAAGAAACTCATACAGGTTTGGAACAAGTGGAAGGTAAGAGAATGATGACAGAATGTTAATTTTCGGGTGAACTATGTCTTTTTAATTGATGCTTTGAAAGACATTTCTTTGACATTAACAGAGCTCCTTTGCAAACACACAAATACTGATGGTCAAAACCTCCAAATGAAAACAAATACTGTATGGCTACAGACAGCCTGATGTGCTTAGTTAGCTCAATAAATAAACCCACATTGTAAGATGCTTTGAGAACAGTGATATAGTGCTGGAAACATGTAAACATAATGTGACATTTTTCACAAGGACATTATAATTAAGATACATATAAGCAGCATTACTTTGTAACAGTGTTTAATAAGACAAATACAACATGTGTGCTTTGATTTGCTACCTGTAGCTTCCAAATCTATAATATAGCATATTGATCTAGTTGGCAAATGATTCTGAACAAATAAATAAAAATTAAAAACTGTAAAGATCTATTTTAAATATATTTTAGAAAACATACAACATCTTAATCCTTATTTGACTTTCCACCTGTTTTGGCTGGACCCACTGTTGTAGTTAAGAACAATCTGGAATGATTCTGTAGAAACTTAAAGGCTGCAGAGTCACAGGTTTGTACTTATTTAATGAAAGAAGTATGATTTATTACTGATTGTGCTTAAAAACGGAAACAGTTAATATACCATGAATTTGTGTTATGTGGTTAATTTTTATTGTCATACTGTGTGTGACACATTACTAACTTAAAGGAATAGATTTGGATAAATGGTATAGAGTTAAAAAAATTTAACGTTACATCACTTGCTCACCAATGGATCCTCTGCAGTGAATGGGTGCCGTCAGAATGAGAGTACAAACAGCTGATAAAAACATCACAATAATCCACAAGTAATCCACACCACTCCAGTCCATCAATAAATATCTTGTGAAGCAAAAAGCTGCATGTTTATATCACCATCATTAAGACGTTTTTAACTTCAAACTGTTGCTTCTGGTCAAAATTCACATCCTCTATCCATAATATTCTTAGAAATCTGCACAGATCAAGCACTGTTTACAAGTGAAAACAGTCCAAATCAGCTCTAAGGAAATATGGACAACAGGGGATAGACCTTTTAGCTGGAGGAAGCATTATTATGGATTATGGACTTGTATTTTGGCCATAAGCAACAGTTTAAAGTTAAAATGCCTTGATGCATTTGCTTTTTACAAACACGCAGCTTTTTATTTCACAATACATTAACTGATGGACTGGAGCGGTGTGGATTACTTGTGGTTTATTGTGATGTTTTTATCAGCTGTTTGTTTAACCCCTCTCTCCCGGGTCCTCACCGCCACACCTCGTTCTTGTTCCGAGTGGGTCTTGAACCCGGGTCTCCGGCATGGGAGGCGGACGCACTAACAAGGAGGCTAAAGACCGCAGACACTAGCATCAGTCGCTAGTGCGTCTCTTGAGATCAGGGGAGTGAGATTAACCTGCACAACACCTACTTGCTGGCCTGGTTACACTCACCCCCCTAAACCTCAATCCCATCCGGGTCACGGCACCAATGTAACCCCTCACTCCCAGGTCCTCACCGCCACACCTCGTTCTTGTTCTGAGTGGGTCTCAAACCCGGGTCTCCGGCATGGGAGGTGGACGGCATCTACCCACTGGCCTCCGTTACATTTGGACTCTCATTCTGAAGGCACCCATTCACTGCAGAGGATCCATTGGTGAGCAAGTGACGTAAGGCTACATTTCTCCAAATCTGATCCCATAAAGAAACAAGCACTATATCTTGGATGGCCTGAGTTTGAGTAAATTTTCAGCAAATGATCATTTTTGGGTGAACTATTCCTTTAACTAAGGAGTTAAGTAAATTGTATGTCAAATATTCCTTGTAAATTGTTTCAATCTAAGAATGGATTTATGCACAGAAATTCATTCTGTTTGTGTTTAAGGGCCAATGTATGAAATGTTACTTTAAGATGTACAATGGCTTCTAGTTATTTCAAAAATTTGGAGAAATAGATGATGAATAGATGAACATTTTTAATGTCATTTTGGATCCGGGTCCGCAGAGTTTAACTGGTTTTAACAGACTATACTTTAAATAAAGGTATACATTTTTTACAAGTATATGACAAAAAATGTAAAAATAATTTTTCTTTGATATTCAAAATGCTGTTAATTTTGGTTTATGGGTAAAGCACTGCTAGTAATCAGACGTGTACTGTTTAATTGAGGACGTCGGGTTTCTGGAGTATAAAGGTGGTTATGTGAGCTGGCCCGCCAACAGAGTCCGTTCAGATGTTAAATGACGTTCTCAAAAAGCTGCATTGATCTCATGATGTTCTCGTCCTGTAGGGAACAAACAGACACAGGTGAACACTTTAATAACACCTCAGCTGTGAAGACATTCTGCTGCAGGCTCAATGAACATTATGTAAGGAGCTTTTCTCTCTAAGCGCTCTACTCAATAAAATCATATAGTAAATGTTTTCAAGAAAGACATTCATGCAGAACATCACATTCAGAACAAAAATAGACCTACGTTTTGACAGCAGTCTATAAATTCATCTATAGTGACCACTCCATCCCTGTTTTTGTCCATTTTCTGTCAGGACACAAAAGGGGTCAAAAGGTCAGTTTGTTCATTTGAGGTTGCTCTATTCATTTAGCTTTAGACATTTTTCTTGCTTAGAATTACATTTAGACAATCTACATGATAACATGATCTGTAGGACCATTGCTTTACCAATGAACCAAAGTGCTGTGTCTGGCAATCATTCCTTTTTTCAACATTTTTAATCACCCTTTTATGGAAGCCCATTTCCATCACATAAGGGGAAAAAATCATGCATTGGTAAATGATAATTATGACATTAAAATTCATAAATATGAGATCAAATGTGTATATGAGAATTATGAGATGCCAAGTCATAATTATGGGATGAAAAGTCAAAATGATGACAAAAATCATACCGTTTATAAATCCTTAGACTAAAATTTACAATACTTTTTTACTGTTTAATCACTTTTTCTCATATTTGTGACTTAGTATGACTTGGTTTATCATATTTTTTGTCAAGACACAAAAAGGCTCTAAAGGTCAATGTGATTTAGACATTTTTCTTGCTTAGAAGTACATCTAGACAATCACTATAATAACATCAGCAAAAACTAGAACGGTAGGATCCTGGTGATATATAACATGGCATAGATGGGAACATTCTGGAAATGGATTTGCTTTACCAATGAATGAAGTTTTTCACCATTTTCATTCACTTTTTTATGGAAGCCCATTTCCACCATATAAGAGGAAAAATGATGTGTTGGTAAATTATGACATTGAAAGTCATAAATATGAGTTAAAATCCAAATTATGAGATGCTCAGTCACAATGAGATAAAAAGTTGAAATGATGACATTAAAAGTCAAAATTATGACAAAGTGTCAATTTTTGTCATAATTAGTATCTCATAATTTCAACTTTTATCTCATAATTAGGCCTTTGTATCTCATTTACAACTCCTTTGACTAAAATGTATGATCATTTTGACTTTTAATCTCATATTTATGACACAAACGAGGTCAGTGTGTTCATTTAAGGTTGCTCTATTTACTGTAGCTTTAGAATTTTTTCTTGCTTAGAATTACATCAAGACAACCTCTATAACAGCATCAGTAGAAACTAGATCTAGGGTCCTGTTAATAAATAATATGACATAGATGGGAACATTCTGGAAGTGTACTTGCTTTACCAGTGTCCTATCTAGCAAATATTTTCTATATGAAGAACAATCATTACAAAATAAATTAGATGCCAATCTCACCTGGAAAAAGATCTCAACATGCTGTCGTGGAGTTTCCTCTTTAAGTATGGGATATGTGCATTTCCCCATCATGTCATAGATGGACTTTATGATATCTAACATTTCCTGTAAAACACAGACAATAGACAGGCATGTTAGTGTTTTATATGATCGCTTGTCACGTAAGTGATTTTCTGGCAAGACTTTACAATAAGGTTTAATATGTTAATATTCATTAATGCATTTGGTATCATGAACTGATGATGAAAAACATTTTTTCCACATTTATTAATATAGTATAAATGTATTACTATTGTCTATTTTTAACTTGAAAAGTTACAACTGTATTAGTTTACTGTATGTAGAAATTTTAAAAAGTTGTAATTAAGACATTTAATTTTAAGGACATTTATTCCTTGACTTTTTTACTTTTGTGTCATAATTATGACTTTATATCTCAATTTCTACTTTGTGTCTCATATCTGTGACTACTTTGTGACTTAGTATCTGATATTTTTTACTTTTCATCATTTAAGTCATAATAATGAGATAAAAAGTTGAAATTATGACATAGAAAGTCAAAGTTTTGTCATAATCATGACATAGTAACACATCATTTTGACTTTTTGTCAATTTCTACTAGAATAATAAAAGTTAATTGTTCGTTGTTAGTTCATGACACCTACACAATGAATTCATGTTATGCAGTGTTTATTATTATAAAGTGTTACTCATAATCTTCAAGTATTACCTCTTTTGTTATATATCCATCTTTATTAATATCATACAGGTTAAATGCCCAGTTAAGCTTCTCCTGAACACTGCCTCGTAAGAGAATGGAGAGACCCATCACAAAATCCTGTAATGCAATGAAAGACATTGAGAAATCAGTCAGAGCAAACTGAATATTATTGCATATCAACATAAATGTAATTTACAGCTAGAACATAAATTATGATTATTCTGCTAACCAAACTGCTTCATTTCACATGATGATATGATACCTCAAGGTATTTTAATTGTTGTGTTATGGATCTCACTAATCCAGTATACATGCAAAGTGCATACGTGAATGGAAATAAATGTCTTTAATAACCATTTTCCAAATGATGAGAGGAATTCTTTCAAACTGAACTTTTCACATGAGCACTCAAGGTTTTTAATTACCAGATATGACAAAATAAGCCTTAGCGGGAGCTAAATGGCTACAGGACAAGCCAAACTTTGCTATTAAAAACAAGACGAGGATATTCTCGTTTAGTTTAATTATTGTATCGCTGGGGACCAAAAATTTAAGGATTTTAAAGTAAAATAAATGGGAAATGGGAGTATTTTAAGGTCTTTCATTCATTCATTCATTCATTCATTCATTCATTCAGTTTTTATAAATCCCATTTCTGCCACATAAGAAAAAATAATGCTTTGGTAGGTCATAATTATGGCAATAAAAAGTCAAAATTATGAGATACTAATTCAAAATTATGACATAAAAATGTTTACATTTTGTAATCATTTCTAATTAGTATCTCATAATTTGACTGTATCTCATAATTTTATTTATTTATTTATTTAGTCATTTAGCAGACGCTTTTATCCAAAGCGACTTACAAATGAGGACAATAAAAGCAATCAAAACTAACAAAAGAGCAACAATATATAAGTGCAAATGACAAGTCTCGGTTAGCCTAATGCAGTACACGTAGCAAGGTGTGTGTATATATATATATATATATATATATATACACATTATACACACACACATATACACACACATACACAAAGAAAAACTCTGAAAAAATAGAAAGCTTTGTTTTTTGTGTTTTTTGTTGTTTTTTTTAAATAAAAAAATTAAAAAAGATAAATATAGATGAAGTAGAATTAAAATAGAATAGAAAGTGTTAAGAAGGTTTGATAGAAGTGGCTGGAAGACCTGCCAAGAGAGCATTGCAATAGTGCAGCCTGAATAGAACAAGAGCTTGAACAAGGAGTTGTGTTCTGAAAGAAAGGGCCTGATCTTCCTAATGTTGTATAAAGCAATTCTGCAGGACTGGGAAGTTTTAGCAATGTGGTCTGAGAAATTCAGCTTATCATCAATCACAACTCCAAGGTTTCTAGCTGTTTTTGAA